TGTGTGTGTGTGTGTGTATATATATATATTGTTGACTATAACTGAAACTTGAAATCAGAAATTAAGTTGACATTACATGGTCTTGTCTTATTACGAGCAGTTCATTGAAACCTCTTTCCTTTTGGCTTCTAGGCAATGCAGCCTTTTTGATAATGGATGGATAAACACCACTACTTAAGCATTGTTTAGGCAACCTTTTAGTTAATGCATACTTCCTAAAAGCCTAACAATAGTTTTTCCCCAGTTATTTTAATATATGTACTTATGTATTGTTAATAAATTAATCATTATTTATTTATCTATCCCAATAATTATGTAATAAAGAATTAGAACGATAAAAGAAAAGCCTCCTCAAAAGAGTAATTCCCTCACAACCAATAACAGTACATTTACGCATTTGGCAGACACTTTTATATGAAAGCAACTTACACCACGTTCGATGTGTACATTTTTATCAGTTCATGTATTCCCTGGGAATCAAACCCATTGAATGGTCCCTTTTCACAATCCAGTAAATTCCCAATTACTTAACAAGTATCAACTTATTTTTTCTCTACTTGAATATCCCATTTCACTCAGAAATATGTCACCTTTCAGAAATAAAATGGGTTACTTGAGTATTAATGGATATTTGTCACTGTGCAATCCAAGATTTCACAGTGGTTATTTGCTCTTTTAGATTATTTGCCTCTTTTTGATTTTTGTAAATAAAACACACTGTAACATAAAGATCACTGCTTGCTATTGCCTGTCATGTAAGGCTAGTATTTTCTTGACCTTGAGGTTTTATTACATAGGAACGCATAAGCAGATAAATAATTCACTGACCTCTTGTACAGCGGAGAAAACCACTCATAATTAGCAGTCTCCTGCAAAGTTTTTATCTCCAGCCGTGAATGCATGGAAATGAATGACAGTGAACACAATCCTGTCATTCATTAAAAAGCACCTCCTCACACAGCGTTTCTCCAGCCTCTAATCATGCACTTTAAAATGGATCAGTGCTGGTTCATTTAGCACAGAGCTCTGGGATATGACATTAATTAGTGAAGCTTTTATTGCGATCAGCACCATGGAGCGCACTGGGGCCAAGGCGTAAACACAAATGTTCTGCCTCGAAGTAAACTGTTATTTGCAGATGTAGAATTTACGGCCGGACGTTACTGCTGGAAAACATCAACTGAAGAGGCTCAGCAGCTGTTTTGAAGAAGCACCTTAGTAGTTTTCCTGATTTGGCTAAAATGCATTAGTTTCTGGTCAGGATTTGTTTCTTTATGCTTTTCATGTGACCTGTATTCTTTACATTTATATGTTGTTTTACATGGCCTGTACAACATACACTCTTGTTACCTGTTCACCGGGAGGCCCTTGTGGTCCAGGACTGGACCTTATTTGGTCCGCATTTTTCATCCTTTTAAGCGGTGTAATAAATAATCAAGATTTATTCATCAAAAAAAGACAGAAAATGTCTTCATAGAGAAATCTTTTGTAGACTAAGTGTTAACAAGTTTGTCTGTACGCTGAAGTCATCATACCGTTATGTTTTATGTGAAATGACACAATGTGGGTAATAAAGGAGTATTATAATTGTTTTATGATATCCTATTTTTCTCTGTGTCAGTATATTTTATTAAGCCTTACTCATCTTTTTTCTTTTTCCCACACTCATAGCTACTGGGACCATGAAGTGGAAAAAGCAACCAAAGAACTCAGGACACCCAAACTCACCAAAGCCATTATCAGGTGCTACTGGAGATCATATGCAGTACTGGGAGTGTTCACTCTTATAGAGGTACGTTCTGATCCAGGGCTTCGCTTGATATTTTGTATGTGGAACACAATGTGAAGGCAGCGAAGCTCCCCTCTAGTTAACTATAAATCTAGTGTGTATTCACACTACATTTTAGGGATGCTCCGATCCGATATTCAGTATCGGTATCGGCTCCAATACTGCCATTTCATTTTCATTTGGTTACATTTTAAGATTAATTCAGTGGTTACATTTTTGCGCATTCATTTAATAACCATCATTTTTAATAAATAATAAATTATTCACCCAATAGGGTTAGTTCACCCAAAAATGAAAATTCAGTCATTTACTCACCCTCCACTTCCAAAACTGTACAGTTTCAAAACACAAAAGATATTTTGAAGAATGTTGGTAACCAAACTGTTCACGGTGGCCATTGTTTTTCCATACTATTGAAGTCAATGGTTACATTGAACAACATAATTTATTAAAATGTTAATAAAGTTTTATGAATTCAATTGATATAATTTTATCAAGATTATCAACATTTTATTAAACCGATTCCAGAAAAATATAGGGTTCTACTTGCCTACATGTAGAAAAGGACTGTAAAACATTGCCATCAAAATTTCCTCGTGTAATAAAGACAAGGGTGTGGATGTCTTTAGGAATGTGCATGTCTAATTCATAATTATTGCACGTTGTTATTATCTGATGTTTCTTCTTCCCCATTATAGGAGGTGATTAAAGTGATTCAACCAGTGTTTTTGGGGAAACTCATTCAGTATTTTGAGAGAAATGAGCCCGATAACATGGCAGCGTTGTATGAAGCTTATGGATATGCAGCAGGCGTCTCTCTCTCCACTCTGGGTCTGGCGTTACTCCACCACCTCTACTTTTACCACGTCCAAAGAGCTGGAATGAAAATCCGCATTGCAATGTGTCACATGATCTACAGAAAGGTTAGCTTTTCTTAAAAACACAAACCTGCGTTTCCAGAAAAAAAATTCTGAGGAGGTGCCAAGTTACAGTGATAGTACCAGGATTTTTAATAAGTACCATATTTGTATAACATGATGTTTACATGGGGTTCTTCAAAGATTGGTCCATAAAACACCTCTGAACTTTTTTGCAGGTGTGCCACATCTCTCTCCCACCCCCCCCTTTTTATAAAGTGTCTGTGATAAAAGCGAAAGGAATGATTTATTTATTCTTGGGCTTGGCTGAGGGTAATTATTATCCTTATAACGGTATCGCCCACAAACCTTTTGATTCGTTTCTTCTTTTAGGCACTGTGCCTTAGTGCCACAGCTATGGGCCAGACAACTACTGGGCAGATTGTTAACCTTTTGTCGAATGACGTCAGCAAGTTCGATGAGGTAGGAAATTTCCATAACTTCTTTGTCTTCCTCTTAAGTGTTACAGTCACCGGCTGTCCATTTCCTGTTTTTGAAGCAGGTCACTCACAGGGTTTTTTTTTTTTTTAATGGATTTAAACATGGCACTTGTTTGGTCAGGGAATTGTTGTGTGTAGTTCACTTTCCAGTTAAAACGGCCAAAGGCAGCACGAGTGATTTACCATAAAGGGCTTGTGTTACTGGGTAACAGATTGGCCAGCGTTCAGAGTACCAGGAGAGGTCTCAAATAGGTCATCTTAACCTTTTGTTCATTTACAATCTGACTTTGGGTTATTGGAAAATTAAAATGATTAGTTAAACAGTTTTTATGTGTTATGGTTTCTGACATACAAGATAACTCACCCATTAATCAGTCCCGTG